GTAGGGAAATTAAGCCTACAAATGAGTATTCTCAGAAAGATTCAAGAAAATCTGTTTGTTTTTGATACAATCCAAAATCTTATTTTCTTATTGGTTCTTTCCATATTGTTTTTGGTGAAGGATCTTATACAAGTTGCTCTAAAAGTGAAGCTAAAATGAGACGAAAATAGCACATAATGCAGGATTTGATTTCTCCAGTTTTTGCATAAATGAACTATATATCAGGATTGCAATTCTCAAAGTCACCTAAATCATTCTTAAACTTTTGGTACCTTAACAGATTTATCTTATTTTGGATTCATTGCAGAAATGCATTAACTTTTGCTGTTTTGATTTTAAGAAATCATGGCAGATATTAATTTTCATATACAATTTCTGAAAAACTACAACTTTGCTACAGATAATAGTTTTACTTTCCATGACAAAATACCTTATCAAACCTAATAAAAGTTATTTTCACTCCCTATTCCTATTCCTTTTTTTTTACTCTCAGTTACTAATGACCTTTAAGTTATTTCTTGGGCAGGTAGAGGGAAGCAATCCAAAGAGATGATATAAACTAGAATTACAGCATTTTTGAATTGGAAGGGACCTTAGAGACCTTAGGGACTTAGAGATCCCTCATTTTACACTGAAAAAGTTGATACTCATAGAGGTTAAAAGTCTTGACCAAGGTTATTCCAGCTAATAAACAAAAGACCTGGAAAAGGAAATGGCCCTAACAAAGCTAAGCCTTGAGTTCAGGTTTTCTGACTCTTGACTCTACTGTTTTCCCGCCATCCATGCTCTTTGTATCAAAAAGGTGACATAGCGTGACTCTCTCTCTGAGCCCACCCATGTGTCTCTCCACACGTACCCTTTTTCCTCCTAATAAACACTTGTTTCACTACCAAAAAAAAAAAAGTGACATAGGCTCACACTTACATAGAGAATTGCTGTTTGAACTCTATTTGAACTTTTCATGAGTTTATCTCCCCCTTCCCCACTCCTTTTCAGAATAACTTGACGTTTACAGGTACCATCAGTGGAGATGTCTGTGTGTGGAAAGACCACATATTGTGTAGAATCGTGGCCAAAGCTCACAACGGGCCTGTGTTTGCCATGTACACCACCCTTCGAGACGGACTTATTGTCACTGGTGGCAAGGAGAGGCCGTGAGTCCTCTTTCTTTTCACAGCCTTACTGAATATTCATGCGTTGTGATGCCTCTGGTTTGCAGTTAGTTATGTCTAGGCCACATGGATTATCCTCTGACCTTCCTCCTCATATGCTTCTCCTTTACTGCCTTTTATGCACCTTCTTGTTGATTTTTATTTCTGGTCTTAAATCCCTCCCAATGTTTTTCACATTGTAGATAAGTCTAAACTCCAACTGTGTGATCATTTTTCTGAGGTATGGATAGGTAGCTATCTTGCAGGTTAGGAATTAATTTTCTTAATGTCTCTCTGCCTGTATAAATATTGGCTGAGTAGTAGGTGGTGATCTATGGGGGAATCTTTGCCATTGGACTCAGGATGCATCTCGACTGCCTGCTTTCTTTTTGGTTCAAACTGGATACTAAGGGATAAAATTCATACTGCTGCATTAGAAAAGGATGAGAGGATACTAGAAATAAAATTTGCCTTGTTTGCTTTTGCTTGAGGCAAACTTGTTAGATAAAATTAAGACAAGACCTCAAAATGTGTGAGGAGAGGCCTTTTTCTGAGTGGTTTTCAAATCTCCCAGTGGAAACCAGATAGATACTTATCATTGATTTCCTACTAGCATATTCATATGCATGTTAAAATGGAATGTATATGTGACCAGGAAGTAAGTACATTCCTATACAGCATTGAAAGAACCAAAAATATGCAGCAGCTTTTGCTTTTCACATAAAGGAAGACTGTATAAGAGAAAAAAACATAAATGGGCTATATTTATCTTGCATATTACTCTGACATTCGTGTTTCCACACCTCATCTAGTCTTGCACACTCCTACTCACTAGTAACCTACTAAACTGTTCAGTAGCATATTTAATAATAATGGTTGGAAAGAAATGTGCTGCTCTTTTGGCCCTGAAAATATATTCTGTAGCACAGTATCTGAAATCCTATTATCTAGCCTTGCATTTCCATTATCCTCTTAACATTAAGAATCATTTTGGGGACTTCCCTGGCAGTACAGTGGATAGGACTTGGCACTTTCACTTCTGTGGCCCAGGTTCAACCTCTGGTCAGATAACTAAGATCCCACAAGCCACATGCACAGCCAAAAAAAAAAAAATTCATTTTGCACGTTTCCTCAGTCAAGAAGTATTATGAGAGAGGATATATGATGTGTGGGCAGGGGGCGGTGCTAAGCAAACTTATGCTAATGTCAGAAAAATAAGTGTTCATAAAATAAAATTTGCTTAAACTGAATGTTTGAGACACTGCATCTAAAAATTGCCATAGAAAGTTTAGAAGAATATAAAGATTGGAGCCTCTTTTTCTGTTCTGCTTATAATTTAGTATTTGTTTATAATAAAAATTATTTGTAATAGCCAATAATAAATGCTTCTTTTGGTTGGGGTTGTTATTTTCTTAGGTCAAAAGAAGGAGGAGCAGTCAAACTGTGGGATCAGGAACTGAGGCGTTGCCGCGCCTTCAGGCTTGAGACAGGACAAGTCACAGATTGTGTCCGTTCTGTGTGCAGAGGCAAGGTAAGATGTTTCTTGAGGCATTACAGTGCAGCAGACAGTAGAAAACAGTTATTCCTGTGATTCTCTCACCTTTCGCAACTTGATGAATAATAACTCAAAGATGGACTTGCTTGCCACTTTTCCTCTGCCTCTTCTCTGCTGCTTTCTTTGCAGAAAGACAGGAAGCTGTTCTCCTAAGCACTGTATCTAAACCTCCTTATTTTCTTGCATCTGCTAATTCAGCTCTGGTAGACAGCTACATTTATTTGCCAGTTAACTCGTTTTCATTAAAGCAGCTGTCTCCATTTGTTTAAAAAACACACATTGCTCTAAAAAATTTGACCGTGCCTGCACTCACAATAAGTGAATTTATAAATTACACACATGTATTATCCTGTCTTTGTATTAAATATTAGTTAAGCTTACTTTTATATCTAGTTATTTTTAACTAAAATCCAATACTTTCTTCCTATATCCCAATGCACTTACACCTCTTTGGAGATCTTCAGACCAATATATCATAGTCAAAGTCAAAACTTTGATGACTGGAGAAGCGAGGTGTGTTATCTTTAGCGTGGGCTTTGCACATGCGGCCTGGCTCAGTGCTCTGCAGACGCGCCTCTGGTCATAGAAAGCTTTGCATGAGCTAATGGCTGGCTTGCTACTAAATTAGTCAAAACAAAAAATTCTCTGAAAGTATGTTATTTTGGTTTTGGACCCAAATCCAATGTGTGTATGTTGAGTTTGGGGGTGCTTCCCACACACCACCAAACAATTCTCCAACACCAGCAGCGTGTCCAAAAATTCAACTGAGTTCTGACAGTATCTACCAGAGAAGGGATTGGATTCCACAGGTTGAAGGTTCAATCCTACAAGACTGCTCCCCTCACCACCACTTCAGATGCCACGTTCTTACCTATGCTCCTGACCGGCTGTAGCTTGGGGTTCCCAACAACTCCTCCTGGACTTCAGACACCAGTCAGTTACCTATCCTTCTGACCTACTGCCTATAAATTAGAGAGGGTTGTACAACCCCTCCTCGGGTTCAGTTATTTTGCTAGAGTGGCTTACAGAGCCCAGAGAAACATGTTACTTACTGGATCACCAGTTTATTGTAAAAGAATATAGCTCATGAACTGCCAGATGTAGAACTGCACAAGGCAAGGTATATGGGGAGGGGAGAGGAGCTTCCATGACCACTCAGCCTGCATCTCCACGTGTGCACCAACTTGAAAGCTCTCCAAACCCTGACCTTTTGGGTTTTTATGGAGGCTTCTTATATAGTCATAATTGATTAAATCTTTCACTATTGGTAACTGATTCAACTTCTAGCCCCTCCCCCATCCCCGAGGGGGGAGAGGAGAGTGTGAACCTGCCAGTCCCTAACCCCAACCCATAGTTGGGTCTCCTGGCAACCAGCCCCCATCCTTTGGTGAGGTCCATAGCAAAAGATACCCCTCTTTTGTTCATCTCTTAGGAAATTCCAAGGGTTTTAGGAGCTTCATGCCAGTAAGCGGGGACAGACCAAATATATAGGCCATCCCCAAGTTAAAGTTTTTCGATTTTAAGATGGTGCAAAACAGGGAAACCGGCTCGGTTCTTTGTGGCTGTCTGGAGGGGTGGGATAGGGAGGGTGGGAGGGAGGGAGACAAAGAGGGAAGAGATATGGGAACATATATATATGTATAACTGACTCACTCTGTTATAAAGCAGAAACTAACACACCATTGTAAAGCAATTATACCCCAATAAAGATGTTAAAAAAATAAAAATAAAAAAAAAATTTAAAAAAAAAGATGGTGCAAAAATGATACAAATTCAGTAGAAACCATATTTCGAATTTTGAATTTTTATCTTGCCCCAGCTAGTGACGTGCGGTACAATCCTCTCGTGATGCCGGGCAGCGCAGCAAGCCACAGCTCCCAGTCAGCTGCAAGGGCCAAAAATCAATTTACTTACAGCCATGCTGTCTGTACTGAGACGACCACTATGTTTTTCACTTTCAGGATAGTATTCAATAAACGACATGAGGTATCCAACACTCTATTATAAAATAGGCTTTGTGTTAGATGATTTTGCCCAACTGGAGGCTCAAGTAAGTGTCCTGAGCATGTTTAAGGTAGGCCAGGCTATCATGTTTGATAGGTTAGGTGTGTCAAATGCACTTTTAACTTATGACGTTGTTAACTTACGATGGGCTTATCAGATGCAACCCCATCATAAGTTGAGGAAGATCTGTATATTTCTTATTCTACGTCATAGTATCACATAGGCCAGTAGGTCGTTCTCATATTATTAAGAAGAGCAACTGTGGTATTCCATTAAATATATTGGCCTCACTTGTGTTTCAGGGCAAGCTACTAGTGGGGACAAGGAATGCTGAAATAATTGAAGTTGGAGAGAAAAATGCAGCATGTAATATTTTAGTTAACAGTCATGTGGATGGACCTATATGGGGACTGGCGACACATCCTTCCAGGGATTTTTTCCTTTCTGCTGCAGAAGATGGGACAGTGAGACTCTGGGACATTGCTGATAAAGTAGGTATATTTTTAAAGATGTTACAGTTTCTAAGAAGCAAAGTCCTAAATTGCTAGCACTTAAAGAACTATCTCAGCATTGTGTTGAGAATTTGGGGGAGAAACTGGTTTACTTTGTAAGTACTCTGCTTAATGTAGTTCTCTGTGATTCTTTTGGTTCTTATGCAGAAGATGTTGAACAAAGTGAATTTGGGACATGCTGCTTGTACTGTGTGTTATAGCCCTGAAGGGGACATGGTGGCTATTGGAATGAAAAATGGAGAATTTATTATTTTACTTGTGAGCTCTCTAAAGATATGGGGAAAGAAGAGAGATAGACGATGTGCAATCCACGATATCAGGTTAGTCAACAAATGGAATGGTATGTCAAGGATACTCTTTAAATGACCCAGCTTGCATTTGGAAAAAAGGTCCTTAGTGCCTGTAGCATTTCAACACATCATAAATTATAGGCTGAAATATGGCTGTTTGTATACTTATCTACTTCTCCTTACTAAATTATGAGTCCATTGGGCACCAGCCACAGTGCCTTATAATAGCAGGTATTCAGGGAATGTTTGATGAATAAGTGTCACACTGGACATGTCCAGTAAGTTCATCCTGCCAAGAATTATCTTCCATCTGCCCTTAAAAGTCTAGAAAATTAGGGACTTCCCTGGCAGTCCAGTGGTTAGGACTTGGCGCTTTCACGGCTGTGGCCCGGGTTCAATCCCTAGTTAGGGAACTAGGATACCGCAAGCCGCATGGCGTGGCAAAAAAAAAAAAAAAAAAAGCCTGGAAGGGCTTCCCTTGTGGCGCAGTGGTTAAGAATCCGCCTGCCAATGCAGGGGACACAGGTTCGAGCCCTGGTCGGGGAAGATCCCACATGCTGCAGAGCAACTAAGCCCGTGCGCCACAACTACTGAGCCGTGCTCTAGAGCCCGTGAGCCACAACCACTGAGCCCGTGTGCCTAGAGCGTGTGCTCCGCAGTAAGAGAAGCCACCGCAATAAGAAGCCCGCGCACCACAACAGAGAGTAGCCTCCACTCACCACAACTAGAGAAAGACCGCATGCAGCAATGAAGACCCAATGCAGCCCCAAAAAAAAAAAGCCTGGAAAATTAAACTTAAAACCCCAAACATCTTTTACTTCTCTTCGTCTCCACTGAATATATAGTTCATTCATTTAATCCATAGTCATTGAACATCTATGCCCCAGATTATGAATTAATTAAAACTTTTCTTGAGCCTTTTTCAGTGCTTAAGCTTATATTAACAGTGGTTACCATTTACTGAGCACTTCTATGTGATCAAGATAGATTATTGAATCCAGGTCTGTCAAAAGCTTGCACTGTTTTCACCAGTAAAACCGTTTTTACAAATGAAACCTTCTTCAGATCTTCAGTATATAAAACAGTAATTATGGCTTCCCTCAGCTCTCCAGTTTCCCAAAGGTACATGAGCAAGACTTATGGAGCATTTTCAAAAAACTGAACTGTCCCATACTGCTTTGCATCATCGATAGGCAAATGGTACTTTATTATTTTAAAATAACTTCTTCCAAGCTTCAGGTAGTATCACTTCATCTAATAACGTTACATGAGTTAAGCTGGCCTGTGTCCCTTGCTATTACGACATGATCTTTCCAGATGAAAGGATCCTATCGTACTGAATTATGTAATTTAGGAAGAATATATGTAAATTGTTAGTGGCTTTTTAAAAACTGAGCTATTTTTAAAGAAATTAGGAGATGAAAATTCAGGAACCACTTAATGTTGAAGTAAAATGTAAACCTTTTGTTTTATGTAACATAGACAAATATCAGTATACACAATCTGTTGTGACTATCAGGTAAATCTGTTTGAGGCCATATCACACATTATTTATCTCAAATACTTATTTTTGAGAACTGAAAAGTCAGTGGTCTTAAATGTTTATATTATTTCATGTGGTCTAATGCATCTTTTACATGTCACCTTTTGTTACATGTTCAGATTTAGTCCAGATTCCCGGTTTCTGGCAGTGGGTTCCAGTGAGAATTCAGTGGATTTTTATGACCTGACATTGGGTCCCACCCTTAACAGAATCAGCTACTGCAAAGACATTCCAAGCTTTGTCATTCAAATGGACTTCTCTGCAGATAGCAGACACCTCCAGGTACAGTACCAAGACTATTTGAATAGTCTTTACATTGTTAGTGCTTTTAAAACTCCTCAGTTCCAGAGCTTCTCAACTCTTGCCTTTTATTCACTACTATTCACTGTTTCTGTATAAATTCTTTACTAATCTATTCTTACCAGTCCTTTTCTTCATTTTTTTGCTCACAGATTTTTGTAGTCATGTTTTAGTCTTAATAATGTTAGAAATGTAAATCAAGTAGCACTTTGCCAGTTTACTATAAACTACTTCTGGATTTTGCTTCTCACATGATGGAATTGTTCCATTTTAATATTATGGAAGGTCTCCACTGGTTGCTATAAACGGCATGTCTATGAAGTGCCTTCAGGAAAACATCTTCTGGATCAGGCTGCCATTGACAGAATTACTTGGGCTACATGGACTAGGTAAATATTTCATATATCAGAAGGGAAGAGCTGACTGAAGGTCAGCAAGGAAAACTGGAAAATCCTATTTCTGAACAGTTAGAGCCATTCCCACTACGGGACAGTAATTGAGTTTTAAGTTTTTGTTACCATCTTGAATTCTTCCTAAGAAGAGAATGATATACTTACTCATGCTGGGACCCCTTTTGATCAAATATTTCTATGCTTTATCAGTTCTTTTAATTAAAGGAAATCAAAGTTGTGACTTTAAAGATGCCCTGATACTTCCTTAACATAAGTAGGTTTAATAACAGACAATGAAACCATGTATTGGGTACTGTTAGGCAACTGTATTATTTCCCTGTCTAAAGGAATGCTATTGATAGCAGCTGTTAGAAATGAAACCTTATAAAATGGGTTCAGATTTGCTGGCTGTAGAACAGATAACCATGCATAACCATCAATGAAAATGAAAAATGCCATCAACACTTTAAATTTTAAAGTAGTTCTATCAGTTATCATAAAGTATTAAACTGACTTTATAAAGGATTAATCTATAAACCCTTAAAATTATAGAACTTATTGAGAAAAGGTGTATTGGGGGTGAGGGAGTGCCATCCCGGCAGGTTCAGGCTTACGACAAGGTTCCTGTGTTTAAATAACATAACTAGGTACTCAGAGGTTAATTACCAAGAAACTTTTTCAGTTTGGTAAACCTGTGTGTATTCCTTCTCTCTAGCATTCTAGGAGATGAAGTTATGGGAATCTGGTCCAGACATGCTGAGAAAGCTGATGTCACCTGTGCCTGCGTCTCTCATTCAGGAATCAGCCTTGTAACAGGAGATGACTTTGGCATGGTTAAGTTATTTGACTTCCCATGTCCTGAAAAATTTGTAAGTTTACGTTGGGTTTAGTATTTTATGTAACTTTACTCCCGATTTAGACTTCTGATCATTAGTACTTTTTCCCACATAATAGCTAAAATGTTATATTGTCTCATGATTTGAAAATACTTTTAAATTTGTGATTCTAAAATTTTCTCCAAACTTCCTAAATCCATTACTCTGAAATAAAAGCTATTAGAAATTATCTCCCCTTGCCCCCAAGCCACGCCATCTTCCTAAACTATCCTGTGATTAGTCTTTTATCAAACCTTTAATCAGTTACCAAATTTCAAATGCTTTTCAATGCAGATCCATTACTGATTCTGAGAAAGCATTTCATCATTAGCTGTGCTCCAAACTGCTTTCTCCACAGCACTCGTGATGGAGATAATGGCTCCTGATTAAGAACCTTTGACTTCTGTGTTCGTCACACACCCTGAGCTTTGTTCTTGTTTTTTAGGCGAAGCACAAAAGGTTCTTGGGTCATTCACCCCATGTGACAAATATTCGATTTACCAGTGGTGATCGACATGTTATTAGTGCTGGAGGTGATGACTGCAGGTTGGTAACTTTCTCAGCCCAAGAAGAGCAGGGACTGTCTTTTACTAGTTAAGAGATTATTACTATTTCTTCGACAGGTTCAGTTTATGGACTCAGCTAGTCATCATAATAAGGTCGCCTAACCATATGGCTCCTTGGGGTCACATACTATGTAAATACAGAATAAAAGGAATTGAAAGAGTAAAGTTTTTACACATGTATGATTTGAAAGCTTAATTTAAAACATTGTAAACTGTTCTGAAAATCTATAAATATAATGAACTCACTGCAGTTCTTTCTCTGATTGCAGTTTATTTGTCTGGAAATGTGTACATATGCCTCATTGAAAGATACGGATGCTGAGAAGACTCCATAAAGTAACAGCCTTGAGAAACCAGAGCCTACCCAAGAGGAAAAAAACCAGAACCAAACCCTGCATGGTCATGTGGTGCTAACTTAAGACTGTAACAGGGATTTATCCAAATTTGTTAAAATAGTAGAAAGATTGATAAGTTCAAAATATTTGTTATATGCACTAAATAACTGTCCATAATCCATACACTGCCAGATAATTACATTTCAAGGAGAGACTGAAGAAATATTTGCTGGTAAAAGCCACCCCCCATTTTAGGGAGGATGCAGATTTGGCAGACTTCCTGGGGAGGTTTGGGAGACAGTGCTTCTCAAAGAAACGAACCAAAACCTTAAAAATCCAACTTGGATAATTTTCTTCCTCTTTTTCTTTTTAGAATTTATATTTTATTTTCAAGTTTCAATTGTTTAATAAAATATTTTATCCTTGTGTTCACATAAGGAAATACACCATCACCCTAAAGGATCACAGGTTTTAAAAGGCAAACATTATTTTCCCTAAGAAAACACACACAGGCTTTACTGGAGAACATGATGCTTCTTAAGCATTAATAAAGTCCTGTTTATAAAGGACATTTTTCTCCTGGAAATTTTAAATTCAGGAACAAATCCAAAGTTAGTAGTGTATGATTGCTACATTTTCATTTTTGAGCTGTCAATCTTATGTTCAGAATTCATCCCTATAATTGAAAGAGTAAAATATGATCATGGCCTCATTAATGAAAAAGTAGTATGATGAACAATCATTTCCAGTGGTGTACAGCTTAAGGTTTTATATAGCAATGGTATTTAACTGGCAGAGAATATGAATATTTAAAGATGTAGTCTAATAGAAACATTGTTTAACATGTAAACTAAAGCGTTAAGTTCACACTTACGAAGTTATACAATTTAGCTAACTCTTGAAATAAAATTTTTATAGCCTTTTTTTTCTATTGGAAAAACTTGTTTAGTTAGATGTATGTCACCCCATCGGCTGACTTCCAAAAGGAATGAAGATAGGTCCACTTGTAAAACTTGTCTATAAAAATTCCTTTTTCACTGGGGCTGAACTCTTAGATCTTTACTCCTCTTCACTTTAAATGCTGCCAAAGATCGGTACTTGCCATTCAGGAACTTGCTGTTTAGCTTATCTGTAGTTTCCTGAAGACTGGAAGTTATGCAGACTGCTATTTAAAAATATATTTTTCTAAGTATGAAGAAGTTTAAGAGGCTCTTCTGGTCCTGTAATTTTTACTTTAATGTGTTAATTATCTTTGTAGCATAACAGACCCCTTCTTCAGGTTTCTGGAAACCTGTTTTCTATGTGCAACACCTTGTAAATGTTAAGAACAGAAATGGCTGAATTTTATCATGGAAAGCCTAAGCGGTGATTGAACCTGGCCAGTTTTAAAGCTCTGAATAGCTGTGTCTGAAGGACTGATTGGGGTGTTTGTTAAGAAGCTTGCAACATTAAGATCATTTTCTTTCATTTTTCTTATCAATGGATTCTCCTAAACTAAGCCCAATTTGAGAAAACACTAATATTAAGTTTCTATTCATGTATATTATAAAGGAGCAGCCAATAAATTAGAGCAAAGAATTCCCATGAACCACACTCTCCTCTCCCTCTGTTTTTGAGGCTGTTGCAGTTTCAAATTTTCCTTCTGAGTCAAGTTCACCTGCTTTTGGCTGAAGAGAAATTCCAGTTCCTTTACAGTGCGGGTAGAAACTCAACTATAACCTTAAGCAAATAAACTATATAGGATAAAATTGCTTCCACTGCATTTTTGTTCTTCCCAGTGGCCAACCTGATAAGCCAGCCTGAATCACTGTTGTCAGTTTCTCGATTAAAGGTCACGATGATTTTAAGTAGTCATCCCACAGCCACCTTGCTTATAGCAGCCATCAACTACAGGAAGGTGAATAACCACAGTAGGCCATGTAGATTATGACCTATGTTTTTTTAACCCAGAGAATTACTTTTGTATGCAGTATTTGAAATTACTTTTGTGTGCAGTATTTGACTAAACTCCCGAATTTGTAACCTGAGCCTTCTCCTAGCACCTTTAGTCCTGTTTCTGGCAGATGCATGCCAAAGCACCCTCTGCACCCTGGTTCCACTGTGGAATGCTAGCCACATCTGTTCCCTTATTTTTGGTGATCTTTTTCGATGACGGTTCATTTTGGACCAAGTTACCCAACAGATATTTTAGAGTCAGCCTTAGCTTGCCCATAAACCATAGCAACTGAAGGTAAAAATTCCTAAATGTGTCTCCAGGCTGTGTCTATTAAATAGCCAAAAAACAATCTGATTTCAGCATGTTTTTATTTCCCTGTAAAATGGCTGAACTAAAACCACTTTAAGCTCTTGTTTCCCAGTTACGTTCTTTACAGTGAAATTATGAGAATGCAGCTATACTCCATTTATAAGTAATGATACTAAAAAGTCTGTTTAAATTTCTGGAAATACAATTTAAAACAAATTTCTTCTGCACAGATGTAAAGCATCTCAAGTAAGTTAACACTGGAATGAAAAAATACCTTCAATTCAATGAAGAAAACTTTTTAGAATGAAGTGGAATTGTCATTCATTTCACCCAAGCCTAACTAACTACATGATAGCTTTATGCATGCTCGTGTGCACTTTTTGTAATGTTTCAAGTCTTATAAGCACAGCAAAGTGCAACTTAAAAGACTCTAAGTGCAACTTTAATAACTGGATAATTCTTTCTTCTCTCAATGGAAAAGAGATGGCCACAAGGCTGCTGGTTTTAGGCTCTGAAACGTGGACTTTTACATACGTAGTTTTATTATCCCTTGGGTATATGACTAAGCAAGTCAATGAACTTTTTTTTTAATAGTTTAATTTGGTCCTGAGAATATTTTGAGTCTTTACTGTCCCTTTTGCATTAACTCTTTTGTAACCAACTAACTTTTAGCTTTACTTTTTAAAAAACTACATCGTCTTTAAAATCAGTGATCCGTTATTTAATTCTAAAGCATTGGACACTTCCTGCCTTAACAGTTTTAAAACCACATATACAAAAGCCTGTTTTCATTCAGTATTCCAAAAGTTTAGTCCTATTTTGCAGTTTACCCATCTGATCTCTGTAATTATACAGTCTGTCATTTAAAAAAATCTTTTACATTTAAAAAATTATCTTCAGTAATAACTATATTTTCTGTGGAGTTAGTTACTTCTTAGAATGTTATTTTTCAGAATGTGAGAATATATATGTATAGCTATAATCTTGTGAGTTTAAAGTTTGTTCTGATACATTATGTATATACTTGTAAAAAAATTTTGTATAATTTTGTGATAATGTAGATCCCAAAATATTTATTTAAAAAACATATGTTAACAGTAAATGAAGGCATTTTAAGGAACCGTTCCTATTTTTTGCCCTTGCCGTTCCAACTGTTTCACCCTACACGCCCCACCTCACTCATTGTTTCTCAGAAAGCAAGGGACTGAGATATTTGGGAACCATTTACCAAAGCAGCACTCAACCCAAGAAGCTTGTATTATCATGTTTTTCATACTAAATTCACTTTAAAAGTCGGGCTGAATAACTGTCTTAAGCCACCTCAACACTGTGGGCCACTCCTGTTTTCAGAGTCGAAGAAAACAGCAATCCAACTTTTGGAGGAAGGACACTGCCCTCATACATCTCTCTACACACATAGCAACGCTGTAGCCTGAAACTGGATTATCAGTACTAACAAACAATGATTTCACCAACATTGTAAATGCTGATACTTGAACACAGCAGTTTCACACACAAACATGCCTCAAATGTTTTAATAGAATTCAGCTTCTCCTGAAACTATCTTTCCATAGTCAAAACAAAACAACAAAAAAACACCCAATGTTAAAATCACTTAATAAACGTACAAACTTGAAAAATGAGACACTTCAGATAGGCAATAAACTTCATTATTATGAAAGCAATATATTCCAAGTTTCAAAGATTTGACAAATTCTGTAGAATGTCTTTCATCAGTAATGGAAACTTTCAAACTCCATAGTCTTCTGCCAAGAAGGACTGGGTGTCATTCACTGAATAAAAAAAACCAAAAATTTTTTCAATTAACTGCTTTAATTAACATAAGTTAAGAGAAGTTGTGTATTTTCAGACAATGAATCTTTGGTTCTAATACTAACATATGCATTTAAATTTACAGGCCACAGTAAAAATATTTTGAAATTTACTTTCAATGTTTTACAATTACTAATGTCTAAGAAAACTGATGTGAGATTTGTAAGCAGTATAACTCTTGAAGGCCTTAAGTTTATGTTCACATAGTACGTTCAGAAGTTAAAAATCTGATGTGGAGATGATCTAGGTAAACAAGCAATTGCCAAATGAAACAAAATTTGGTTTATGTAGTAAATTATTTTTTCAAAGGACCCTTAATTGAACAGCAGAGAAAAACCAAAGTGATTAAATTTCCCCCAAATTTGTATGCTTATAAATTTAAGAAACTAGATACTAGAAAAGCATTTGAAATGACATTAGAAAAACTGATGTTAACCTTTACCTGGTTTGAGGTCGAATCCATTTCAAGGCATGTCGTGGTGGTACAGTAATGGTGGGATGATAAAATGTACAGTCAGGTCTTGTACACTGAGTGTTAAATCTGCAGTGCTAAGGAGAGAGAATAGTTTCAACATCTGCAAAGCTAATACAAAAAAAACACAGCAATCTGAGATGACAGTAACCAGCCCACCATAAGGTTAATGGGGCAGCAGAGACGATCTGCAACTTCCGCTTTAATACACAACTGAAGCCCTGAAAAATGGACTCCCACCAAGACACAAAATCCTAATGAAAGAATAATAGCAAGTTAAGTTTCAAAAGGGACTTTAGTATGTAATACAAACTGCCTCTAATCAATGTACTAACCACCTTGCACATACTGCCCAACATCCCTTATATTTTACCCTCATCTATGCCCAACTGCAGTTGGGGAAGTAAAGGCCTTTCGTACGGTTTCCAGGCTGCTATTTCAAAGAGAAGATGATTCATGCTGAGCAACTAAACAGCTGGAGACACATCAACCAATCTTTAGTACCCAGACAATTAAAACCATGGTGGAAGTATGGATGGTATCCTTAAGTACTACTGGATTTCATCATCTCAGTTCTGGCATGAGGGCTGCGGGAGGGGGAACACACACAGGGGCAAAGAAGAATGGAAAGTGACCGGCGAAAGTGAGCTTCATTCTCCTGAGAGATTAGGCTACTGACATTAAATCGGTTCAGACAGCTTGGCCTAATGGGCCAGACACGGGCTCAGGGACAACTAAGGAATAACTTAAAGATCTTAAAAAACATAACATGAACTCTAACAAAAAAGTTAAACACTGGGGGGGTGGGGGAAGGAAGACAGTATAGTTTGCTAGTGACCTTACAAGCTCAGAATTGAGAAGTTACCACTAAATTCATTTTTGGGAAAATGAAAGTTCTTACTTTTGGATGATAGAAGGGACATTCCATTTTCTTACAAGCAGGGAAGTAACGGCAGAGTTGACTACTAGAAGGTGATGCTGGTGTTGTAACTGCTGGCAAAAATAAGGACAAAGGTGAAATTTATTTGGCAAAATAATTTTTAATGCAGTCTGCTGATATTTTTATGGGACCCACTTTTAAGTTAAAACACAAGGAGATTTATATATTCATTAGTTAAAATACTTTAGAACACTATAGGATGGGTACACTTGTTCTTTAAAGATAAATTAGAATAACTGATTATGGCACAATGATTTCTGAAACTATTCCTTGTTTTTCTTTTTAATTCAGTTTATAGTCACAAAATGTCATTTTTTTCATTTTTCACCCAAATGTAGTAGGGCACAAAGTCACCAACCTGGTTTTGGAGGCAGTACTGGAATTCTTCTACTCATATGAGTGAAGGGACACTCTGGTTTAGTACATTTTGCGTCGTATTTACAATTTGGATGAACAAACAAACATTTTTCAGCGAATTTACAATTGGGGAAGGCTCTATAAAACAAAAAGACGTATTACTCACATTTAATCTCCTCAATGCATTACTAGTTTTTTGTAGAGAGGGTCCATTATACTCCTAATTTCATCACTACTTGTTTTGAGAAACACAGAAGTAACAGAAAAAAAAGGAAACTCCATTTCTAAATGATGCCAGATATCAAAACAGGACACAACTGTCTATTCCAAAGCCTGGGGTAATAACAGATTTTCAGCTCAAGCCAGGCCACCATGAAAGGTAGAAGGGCTTTTTGTGATAATAAGAAACACCACTTACTCTCTAATTATGGTCTATGTAACACTGTATGGAGTAAACTCAATTTATGTGAGCACAACATATATGCAAGGCACCATACTATGAGGAAAAAAAAAAAAGACTGATCCTATGGTCTCCCTCTATATGCACATCCATAAAATTCTCACATCAAAATTTCCTTAAAGTTAAAAGATGATGAGATTCCACCTACAGGACCAAAAAAAAAAAAAAAAAAATCATCTCTCAAAGCTCACTCCACAGAACCAGCCAGCTAGCAAGGAAAAATTATACTGATGTCCAGAATATTTTCTCATTACCTATTAACTAATTTTTTCCCCAGACAAAAAAAAAAAAAAAAAAAAATCATCTCTCAAAGCTCACTCCACAGAACCAGCCAGCTAGCAAGGAAAAATTATACTGATGTCCAGAATATTTTCTCATTACCTATTAACTAATTTTTTCCCCAGTCTTAAAATCTGTGTGTAAACACAATGCAAACTGGGGCGGTTACCATATACCCATCTCCTTAAGTGTACAGAATCCTCAAGGACACCCAAGAATTTCAGTATCTCAAGGTATGAGGCCCAAAGAAGCCTCCTCCTACCTCCACCACCAAATACACAGACACAAGCGAATGCTGTCCTGCGAGTGCCAGAGTAAGTATCACTGCTGCATTTAGTTGTAGAACTCAAACTTGTCCACAGAAAAGAACAAAAGTCAGCTGTATCTAGAATTAACCTGAAAACAGAATTAGTGCGCTGCTACTCACTTGCAAGGCGACACAGGATGATGGTAAGCACACTCATCCCCATTTTTACAGGCAGGCCAGTACTTGCAACGCTCCAAAAGTTTTTCTGGTTTCTGTGCCACACTCAGTTCACTCATCTCAGCTACAAAGGGAAACAAATTAAAAGTATCTCATTAATTATGATCAATTCAGGGACATGGCACCTTTAATAAATTTCCCTCAAAACCCATTCTTACAATCTTATGTTCTTCTACGTGTATAAGTTACACAGAATAAATGAGTCCGATTAATCTGATTAACACGGATACTAGGATCCTATAAAAGATTACTAGGAAGTAGACTACGGTTTTCACTGTGAAGAGTAAAGTGGACAGTGATGCTGCAACTAGAGCCAAGTTCTCACCGAAAAATTCTAACTCTCAAAATTATTTCAGCTGAATTAAGTATAAAACAGGAAAGAATGTCAATAGGGAGCCAATAAAATGAAATGAGAACTGAGCACACCAGGTGATAAAAAATGTGAACTAATTCTCATATTCAGGTTAAGATGATGAGTGTCTCAATACAAGAGTTCCCACTCGCTGAGGTATGTGCAGTTTTCTAAGTCCAGATGATAACTTCACATCAACGTACAAAGGGAAGAAAAGATTTTTGCTTAAAATGAGTCACAAATGTCATAACCTACAGGGACCTGGCAGATTACCTAACAGAGTGAGGCTGGCTGGGTGTAAGGTGATCAAATGGCAGAAAGCCTCTTGGAGGAA